GGGGGGGGGGGGGGAGGACTTGACTGTGATGCAAAGATTAAAAAGAGATATAATTGATGTTATAAATTAAGGGTGGACTATTCATGTTGCGGGAAATTTTGTTATGTGAGTTGGAAATTATTGGATTAACATAATTGTGCATCCTCTAAAATTAGCTAAATTTTGTATGAGCAATATTTTTTTGACTTATTTCCTTAAAACAAATATTTTGGAAATTAAAATATTAATATAATTTCTTAATTTAATGATGTGTCTAGTAGTATAGTTCCAATAAAAATCTTATAATTATAACAGTAAGACTTGTCTAGTAATATAATTTTACGAATGTTTCTGGTTTAGATCAATTAATTTTTCCAAATAGATCAATTGGTTTTTTAACTAAAAAATGTATGGTTAGAGAGAGAGAGAAAATGTCATATATGGTTTGGAAAAAAATATTAGGTTAAGTCGTAATTGTAAAATGACTTGGTGGCGTTTATGTAAACGTCGGATATTAGAGACGTTTACAAAAAACCAATAATTAGGATTTTTTTTTCTGAACAAGAATAATTCCAATTGCGCATCGAGAGAATCGAACCCCAGTCAGTAATAAATGATATTTGTGACAAACGCCAGTTATTAAATGCCTACAAATATTATTTTTCTTGTAGTGTTAGAACAAGCTTAATTTCTATGCCATGAGAATAACTAACTCATATTTTCCTTCTAATTTCTGCATAAAAACCTTCGATGAATCCTTTTTTTTTTTTCCCTTTCAAAAGGGCTAGTTTCAGATGCCGCAATGCTTATGCTCCCCTCTTTGACCCCTATCCATTCCAACACAATCTAATTAAGATGAGTAATGCTATTCAGATTTAAAAATTTGACTTTATTAATTTACTCAATGACGTAATTATATTAAAATTACTAAACAAATAGCAAGCTTTAATATTTGATAGACCACAATCAATTCAAAAGCGTCAACAAATAAAATGAGGTAAGTTTCCTCTTTTCTTTTGATGGATTCATTCGTTTGTTTACATATGTTTGGCACAATTCAAATGTTGAATCCGTGTTCCAATTAAGAATAACAATACACTTTCACACTGATCACTCATTGCCTTTGTATTTCTGATGTTGTTTTTATCAATGCTGACAAGTCAAGGCAAGACTTGAGAGTACATGAAAAAGTCACACCAGCAGACTTCTTTATGGTGACTACTTTCACAAAACCATGGTAGCCTGGTCGGTGTTTTCACATCGGAAGTGAAGATTCCCAAGTCTTGATGGTCAAGCAGATAGATCACTGGACCGGTGGAATCCACCAAAAGT